ACGGTCTGTGCAATTAATTCAACGCCCCCCTTCTAATTCAAAGTGGCATAAAGACATTATTTTGGATGAACATAACATAAAATGTATCACAATAGGCATAAAATGTTGGCAATTATTCAGGGATAATACTAGTTTGGAGTTCAGTTTATCTTTTGATATCATTTAATGATGTTGGTTTTACGACCAATTCCAACGTTTTTTCCCCGTGACGTGATTACAGTTAAGATATAAACATGACTGGTAAAACTACACACATCTTTCAACAAATTACTTACACTTTGTTGACTTTATGATTTATGTGGCCCTGGCATTCATTCAAATTGACCTTGAATGACGTCTCTAATCCCAGTTTTTATGCCTCTGAATTGTCAAGACAGTGTTGTTTTCAAGGAAATTTAACACTACACGTATAAGTAAACTTTAACAGTAATACAAAAACAAATAACATTGTGCGAGGTAAAATCTTGTGTGTTGAGTGATCGTTTGTGCTATCGATCTTAAAAACACCTCGAGTTAAAATCAACCTGTGAAACTTGGCTTTGGTGATAAGGTACGTTGGCTTAGAATTACTTTATGAAAAGTTGTTTTTCAAGCGACTCACATAAAACATATTCAGTCTTTGATGTTATAATGATATTGGTTCATATGTCTTCTTTATGGAATGCTAGTTTCCGAATGAATGTCGTATACAGAACGGTTTTTCACCACAAAGACTTTAAGTGTATTTTTAAAGATACAGATTAAAGATAGTTGGAATGAATGTCACACATTTTATTATATGATGTGGATGTACCGACAAGGTCTACTTTTATAGCCGTGATCATCATCGTCGTCTGTGTTATCGCCATTATTGTGTTGGACGTTCCCGATAAGCGATGATTAGAGGAAGCCCTTAGTGAATATCCACTGTTTGGCCTTGTTGATATGTGTAAAATTTAATTCACTTTCAGAAACAGTAAAAGGTCTCCATATTTTTATTTGTCTTAGTTTCATAGACTTTGAATTTGGAGTAAGATTTCGTCAATATATCGATTTTTTCCCTTGTATTTCCTGATCACAAACGTTTTTAAAATTTTATTTTTTGTCTTGTCATATACATTTAGTCGCACTCCGGTTTCATTCCAATGTGTATTCCTAATAAAGATGTGTGGACTATTTTCATACATCAAGACGGTGAAATTACAAAGAAGAAATGAAATGATACAATTATGGAGAGAAATGTTGCACTATTTGTAACAAATGCTTTCTGGAATCCTGGATCCTGGAGAACGACTGTAATAGGAAACCTATACCTAATAGAAATCAATTGTCTGGAAGAGACGTTGTCACATTATCCGCGGTTTGATTCACATAGACTAGGTAACGTAATATTGATTTGGTTCGTGGTGATTCATTATCGTCATAGTAAAAAAAATCTGACTTCAATTGGATTTTTATCACTTCTAAATCATATTTTAATCCCCGTAAACACAATTCAATATCAGGATATTTTTCTTCTTTATAAACAACTTTTACATTAATCTTTTCTTTCTTTTTTTTCTTTGGTTAAATCAATTTCTTGAATTTAAGAAAAATACCATTTTGTTTGAATATTGACATCAAGACGACATTTTCCTGATGTAGAATAAAATATTATGTTGTGCCGTATCGGTTAGAAGAATCTGATTTTTTACAATATAGCAGTTTCTTTGTGTTGAAAAAGATATTGAATTTTACCAGAACTATCCCACACAGGGAAACAGCTGAAACGTTTGTCTTGATTATGATAGATATATCAGTAAGACAGTTTCTGAAATATAAACGTAATGTGGTATATTTGAGAGTTTGAATTATGTTCATGGAAAAAATTCGAATTGTATGAAAATTGGTAGCATGTCGCTACATGTTTTGTGATGTGATTTGGTGTATTTTTTGGAGGCCAATCTAGGGACAGAGTTGACAGGTTGGCTGTCCCTTTCTCGAAAGGTGTGGAAATTGGTTAAGTATCTTGGAACTGCAAATTCTATTTAATTATATACCAAATACTCGTAGTTCGTAGCTTGTTCGCATAGGGTTCAGTTGGCAATGTATGTTATTCATTTCGAATTTTAAAGAGTCTGACCCACTCCGTTATAGATTTTTTTTCATATTTTATTGGCTGGAAATGTTGTTGTATACTAATAGATAATATGTAGATAAAGACTTGTATAAAGTTTCGGACTTGAAATTGAAAGGGTACCGGAGATATCTGTGCCGGAATTAGTCTCATAAATCAACACCAGGATATGAATATTGATGAGGAAAAGTCACGTGATACGTTCAGACGCGGTCAGAACCAAAACAAAGATGGAGGAAGAGGTGAGTAGTACGTCCATGTGACATCGCTTGTAAAGAGATTTTACTGATAAATGCAATCAATACTCTTTATATCCTATATGGAAATCATATAACGCATGTATTGATCACATCTTTCAATGTTTAGATATGACACAAAAACGTGCAGATTACGAGAAAAACTACGATTAATTGCAAAGAAGCCCTCAAATGGGGGCTACAATATGGTAACGAACATATAGAACATCGCGAAATGGATCTCCCTAAAGCGAATATTCGATTATAAGAGTATTTATGAATATGATTTTAGAGTGATACTACACGGAGAGAGCCAAACAGAGAGCGATACAGAGTATGAACCAGCTGCCATCTTCCTTCTTTTCGCCTCAAAGTCCGTCATAACACGTTTCTTCCCCGCTTCTCTCGCACGCTTTCCATGTTGGAAGACAGAAGATTAATTTACAGTTCTTTGCGCATGCGTCAGAGGACAGGACTTCCCGCATAATTATGAATTAGCACCGAGTCGTTTCGAATTCTTTTTTAAAACTATCTATTACGTTAGTTTGGTAGTGATTTACTTTGAAATTGAGGTATTATAGGGTTAATCAGAACTTTTTGCTACCCGAGAAAAATAGAAAATCATGATTTTTTTTATATATATAAAATCATATTGGTCGAGGAGAGGGTCTGGCTCTTTAAGCACGTGGGGAGGGTAGGTATTCTTGGGTTTGTAGGGATTAGAGGAATTCAGTCGTGTTTGACCTGTTAAATTTATACACACGGATGTCGATATGATGTCATATCTGTGTCCTCCATTAAAAAAACCCATTGATGTATCAGATCTAGATGTACTTGAAATAACAATATGGTTGTTGAGGACCGGGTTCAAACACAAATTTGATCTCGAACAGCATGTAGAAGTGTGTAAATATGGTGCATGGTATGTGCTTGTTGACGCGTGTTCTTGTTGCACAAATATTTTTGTTTTAAAAAGCCCTTATATTAGCATTTGTTACGTTAGATTGCTTTTGATCGTACTGATGTCATAGTCTCTTGCCAAATAAATAAATTTAAAAATGATATTTCAGAGACATACGAACATAACTACTTCCTCTTAATTCTTACAATTGTGAGTAATGTACCGAGATGTTTTGATGTTTGTCAGTCATGGCTAGTCGTGCAGTAAGTGTAATTCCTGTTGAATGGGTTTTGCGTCACTTTATGTTTTATTTATAAACAGCGCATCTTTCTACTTTATTTCTCCCTTGTTTATTTCCTTAATTACCTCTGTTATTTTAACGAGTAATTAACATCTTGATCGAATTACCAATATTTATAATTACAACAGCTTCTTGCTGTTCCTTATTTCCTGTCTTAAGCTGTTTTTTAAATCCATGTTGTCTTAAGATAATATCGCATATTTTTTTTTTAACATTTTGCATATATTTATACAGCTACCCAGTAATAAACTTTTGAGAGGTTACTACCATAGCAGTTTCGTTAACATTAAAAAATCTTTATGTATCTATTACTCGTCAAGTTGGTGGAGGTGTCTATTATATCAATTTAGAACTGCATCGCAGCAGCTGGTATTCGTTAAAATCGCATTAGCGCTTGAATACCTAATAGGGAATTCTGTCAATGTTAACCTAATAAAGGCTAAGTTATTGGCTTATTGAAATATGGTGTTTTTATCTATTTAATATCAGTTGCATAATTGATTATATTTGCTGTCTTGTTGTAAAATGTTGTCAAATACTCAATCTAATGTTATAGAGATGTTCTTGAAGAAGTGTATGCTGGAATATCTCCCGGACAACTGATTACATTAAACTTCGTTCTATTTTACTTAAATAAAATATACTGCCAGTCACGTAATGACTCCTAAAACACACAGTATTATAATTGTCTAGTTATCATTCAACGCTACACAAAATTATTCATTACAATTTGTATGTGTGATATTATAACACCGATAATCTGGGCGTGCGAGGTACACGGGAACACTCTTAGTCAAATGTCAAAGCTCCGTCAACTCTTTTGCATACACTATCTATCCCCACAATACCAAAGACATGCATACTGAAAACGTTTTTATTTTTCATTATTTCTGAGAAAAAGAATTACACCGCGAAATCCTGATAATAAACTTATTAAAGATTACAGGAAAGTTTTACAATTTTATTACAAATTATTACTTGTTCAATATAAAGTTGGAAGTGTTCGGTTTGAGGACATGATATTATTTACCTGGTTAGACCAAGATTTACAAGGTGGATGTCGTCGATAAAGCAGAAGACGCTTTACCCTTCCGAAACACCTGGTCTTATTACCCCTGCACATATGATTCTCCATGTAAATCTTTATTTTATCCATGTTTTGTACCAGTTTCTTCAAAGTTTTGTTGTTTTGTTTTTAATTCTGGTCACAAGTCGGTGTTCTTTTTGCTGATTAATGAAGAAACCCAACCTGCCGTTTATGAATACATCCTGTTTGCTAATAAATCATCCAAAATTCAACCAAAGGAAAACAGCTATTCAGTATACGTAAGGAGGACCATAGGACATAATTGGTGTAAATGATGCGTGTTACCGCGGAAACATAATTTCTTAACCACAACGCTGATACTTTGGTTGATATAAATTATATTTTGACATTCATTTACAAATACAACACATACAATATAATCCTTGTTTTAGATATTATTGCAAGTATAAATATACAACTGGGTGTGAATTGTACATGCATACAGTAAATATCGTAATTATGACAAAAACAGTTGACAAAATATTTTCTGTATATTTACAAATCTCAAATGTTTATATTTACAATGCAAGATGATAAGTAGTGTTTTTATTAAATTAAAATTCAAAGAATAAAATTACAACCTAATTTACGATGAGACAACATTGCTTGGGATATAAGTAAAATCGTGGTTTTGGGCTCATAAGTGAATGGATACGATTTGTTGAAAATACACATGTATATACAAATGCAGATTGATTTTATATGCTTAGTTGTTTAATTTCAAACATGTACATTTCTACTGCCATACACAGACAAAGATTTTTATTTTAAAGTCAATTTTATAGAAATATTGATAATTTCTTCATATTGCAAAAAGATAGCAATTACAAAATAGACGAATCTTAATTGACGTGAAACAAACGACGGAAGATTTTATTTTCAGGTGAACAATACGATGCAGATACTGACCAATAGTAATTGAAGGATTTCGACATTTTCCCCGGAATTCTTTCAGCATACGAAGTTGTCTACAAAATATCTTCTGATTTTGAGTTTTCCTGGGACTTTTCTGATCTTGATTACCATACCTGTCTCAGAAGTGCATGAATGTGACCATCGTACAAATGGTTATTTTCATTAAGTTTCCTTTCTGCATCGGTTTACAATTTTCTAAAATAATTACTATTTATTTCATAATCAAATATTTTAGACACAAGGAGAACTACAATCAAAATATGGAAACATGAACTTACATGAAATTTTTGTTTTCAAGTCCTTCATACGGTATTTCTTAATTTCTGAGTTGTTTAATGTTTGTGAAAATATCACTTATATAAAGCAACATCTAGCTTCACAAGTTATTATGAGCTTATTCTCAAGTCTTTTTACAGTTACTTAATCTCCGGTATTTTCTAAAACTTCTGAAAAATCTACAGGGCTGACTGTGTCCTCGATTAACTGAGATAACGGTGTCATTTGCCGCTTTAGAGATTTACACAAGTGTTGTGAATTTGCTAGCACGAGAGACCATGTTTAATGACAGGTGCTTCCGTTTGATATCGGTGGTTAGTTGATAGTTGAAGCATTATCATTCGTATATATAATTGGTACATGGTGAAAAAAACATTGCCTTTCTGTTATTTACTCAAGCTGTTTCCACACAAATGTATCTAGGTATAATTTTTCAAAAGTTAAAACTTCACAACTGGAAAAACACTATTCAGCTTAGTTCGTTTTCTCGTCCGTCTGTTTTCCAATTGACTAGAACGGATCATACAGAAGGATTCTTCCAAGACATAAATTACGTAGGTTTACTAGGGCTTTACGCGTTTCAAAGGCAGTGCCTAAACAACTGTTGTGAGCCGGAGAGAGACTTTCCGGCTTTATGTTGTAATAACTGGAGAATTCATTACTCGCTGCCTTTGATCACAACTTGCTATGTGTAATGCCGATGCCAAATAAAACTGCTAGCGTTACACATGTTAATTGCTCTCTGCTTGCAGAGCGTGGATACCGAGTCAATTACAAGGGTATAATATCTTTTATCTGAATGATAAAAACAGTCGTTTGAAATCAAAATGAAGTGGATCTCCTAAAGACTTTCTGTGCCCTTGTTTGATTTGATCAGACAGGTACCCTCTTGGCATAATCGCCAAAGTCCGAAAACTGGGTCCCTGGTCCCTCAATTAGTCCACTTGACACTTATACGACACCAAATCGAGATAATGACTGCTCCACATAATAAAACAAATGTTTGCCTGTGCGCAGTTTGTATGACGGTGTGACAGTGTCAAATTAATAGGGTTGAAATTAATTAAACACTTGTCACATTTGTCTTTGATAATTATAATTGTTGGCGTATAACTAATTATACTGTATCGATTGATTTAGACAGCAAGACCTCTACAATCAACATCTTATTCGGTTACAAAAATGAATGACAAACTAAAAAAAATCGTTGTTGAGTTACTGACATGTTGCCGCATGAAGTCACGTTTATCTTATATGAGTTCCGGTCATGAAAATAACTATGTGGGCAAAAATGCACGAAACAAGTCTTAAATAACTGTGGGCACAAATGCATGAAACAAGTCTTAATTCTACTTTATATGTAAGTGTATATCAGACATTTTTTGTCCGTGGAAGATACATGCAATGTTACGTGACGACATTAAGCTCATTTTATGCCGATTTACAAAACAATTGATATTAATCCTACATAATTAGACATATAAAAACAAGGGAAATTATTCTAACAAAAATCACAACTATATTTGTAACAGTAGCATGCATCCTTGTTGAAAATATCGTGTTATCGTTAAAGATAAACCAGAACATCTCATTTATCCACTGGCATCAAAAGGTCGCATGTTGTCTCGACTTTACGTGCACTGGATGTTTTGACAGCAAGTAATTACTGATGGTGTGATGTTATGTTTGGTTAATAGTGATTGAATGTAAAACATTTAACAAAATTTAAAAAAAAATAAATTGTGTACAATGCACATAACCAACGAAATAAAAAAAAAAACCAGTCATTGCCCTAATTGAAACGCTACGTTCTTATCTAAGTTGAGTTACAAAGTATAACATTTTTCACATTATATCAAATTATACGTCGGCGGCAACAAGTTCGTGAGCATGCTATTTTAAGCATCATGGAATCAACCCCGACGAAGCATTTCCGTTGGACATGCGCTGTCGCTGTTACTGACATGCCTATCAGAACCGAACTTGTCCGCGTGTTTTGTCGTTTTCACACATGACAGCAAATCCGATTTGACGTCGAAAAAAGACATGGTAAGTACGTTTTGGGCCCTGAATCACATTTTTAACAACTGTCCATCACCTTCTTACGTCAATATCATTTACATGTGTATTTGTCGATGAGCGTTTCACATTTCTTACACTGCACATCACAACACCATATAAATTTACAGTGACAGCGCTCCACGTGTCTCAGCACTTGAGTATTATAGCCCCTCCCACAACAGAGTAAGTCACAGCTTTCAGGACCACTCACAGTCTTGTTGCACAAACGGCCCCGTGTTCCAAGAATACCCTTTTTAGGGTTTGATCGACAGTAATTCGGGGACCGATGGACGTATACTAGATTATCTGCCTCCACTGGTACGTTCCTTTTGGTCTTGTCACGCCTTCGAAGTCTGTTTCGTGCTCGTCTTGCAATCCTTACTGACCATTCATATTTTGTTTTCAGTTTTTCGCCAATCTGATGGAAATCCGGCAGACTTTTCCAACATGTCTGCACTGCGCATGATCCAGAGACACCGTGACAACGACACCGAAGTTTCATTGACCCTTCTATGACCTGTAAATATAAATATTGCTTAGTAATCATATGTCGTTCATTGTATTGTTAAAATGCATCCTGAAGACCAATATCAGCGATCTTTCAATGTAATAATGTATCATATTTGTGTTTCATATGTACTGTTTCATAATTTAATATATTGATTCAGATAAATTAACAATGAAAAATATTGTAATGATGGAGTTGCTACAAACATTTACAGAGAAGAGATACAATAATGGAAAGAAAAATATAAATCCAATTGCTTCTTACGTTCCCTCGCACAAGATGATAATCACACACATAACTGTAAATATAGTATATCATTTTATTTCAGATATTAACCACAGAGTCTATTTTGATTATAACAGATTTAAAGCTGATACGTTTGGATAAAATGAAGAAAGATTTAATTTCAGACAATTAATCCAGCACTTCCTGTGGTTCCCGAGAGAATATCGGAGCCATCAGCGCGGAAAGATTGCATGCTAAATGCTAACAGGTAATACCTTGACGGAAAGCTGTAACAGATTCCCTGGAGATAATTTATCGTAAAGCGGAGACCATAATACTATGAGAGCATTAGATTAATCACAGATACGTAAGTAAATTAGGGCAGAAGTAACGATCCCAGATCATGAATATAGTCATTACCGCTTCGACCATCTGATAGTGTCGTTAGAGAAACAGTTTTAAATAAACTGCTTGTTTTTATATAATCTCGAACTGTTAAATGTACATATAATGGATTTTTCAGCAAAAGATGCTCTGAGATGCACAAATAAATCTGAAAATAATTTTAGCATGTTTTTAAAGTTCTTGATTCTCTCACAAGGACGTTAGGTCAATCTTTAAAACCATGAACATATTTTCACGGAGCGGTACGTCAGTTTGTCAATTTAGGAGAAAAGGTGACCTGTTGAAAAATATCTTTCCTTAACAAAATACAGAAACAACAAAACGAAAAGGTACATTTTAATTCCTCCATTACATTAAACATGTTTTATATAGTATGTTATCCCTGTGATTTGTACAGTATTTGAGGAATACCATGCAAGGAAATAATCCCATCAATTAGTCCCAGCCAACCTTGGGAAGTGACTGTCCACTCCTTGTCAATGTTTTCATGTAAAACAATCACAGAAAGAATTCCTTACGAAGACTTTCCCTTAGCATTTTTAAGTTTACTAATCGTCAAAAAATCCATCTGATTTTTCCGTGATTTTGGTGTTAAAAATGACTGGTCCATTTTCCGCGTATTAATGGAGATATATATTCACGAAATATATAGGCATCCGAATATTTCTCTCCTCTGTTGTTTATCAGCAAAAATTAATCGCCTCAATAATCATTCACAAATTCGCCTCATACTTATAAACGTTTTGAATCGATAATAAATCAGGATAAAAAACGAATTTTGTCGTTGCTGTTGAATCTTACGCCAAAGTGCCTCGCAATACGCGATATATCGTGGTCCAGCTGTACAATTGGTGTTCCTCGCATACTTTTATCATTTTTTTTTATCGTTTTCTGTAGTTTACATGTGGTGGTAAAATTCAGTTATTTATTTTTCCAGTTTCTTTCATTATCTATTGTCAATACTTTCAGCAAGAGTAGGCATAAAGATAAACTCTTCTCTTAACAATTAATAATCGTGGCATCTCATCAGAATGCAGATTATAGTGCATCCCCTGTCACATCTTCATCTCAGATGCTAAGGATGGTTCGTGATATCAATGGTTAATGCTGTACGTATTTATGCAATTAATAGTAAAAACGGAATGCATTTTACAAACATCAGGTTGAACAAATAGGTGTTTACCTATAAATGATATACTCCCTTCAGTTTCAAAAAGACAAAGGTTCACCCGAAGACAGTAAAGATGCCTCATACTCATTACAAAGCAAACACATCTTGTTTTTCATTTACAATTATCTTCATGCAGTAAACAAACACCGCTCACAATTGCTGCCAGACCTCGAAGAAGGTCATCCGTCTTGGGGTAGAGGTTATCCAAATATACAAAACAACGTGCACTTTAGATGAAGCCCTCATACTTCAGGTGCACTTGTTGTTCCCAAGATCCACAATTTCTAAAGTTTATGCTTATACAGACTAGCAATAAGATGATTAATAATATCACTTTTCGTTTGACCTTTAAAATTTGAGTCAAAATTGTCACTTTTGTTAATCAAAAGGCAACATTTCACCTTAAGATTTCACATGACTTGCAAACAGTTTTACTGTATGTAAGAATGTTGATTTCAGTTCAGGTTTGAAAGGGGAAAATAAACGAACAAGGAGACTTTTCTGAAAAATAGCATCTCTCTGATAGGCCTTAATGCAGACTTTATACTGTTGGCCTTATATCTACCAACATTTCAGCTAAGCATTACACGTGTCTCAAAGAAGCCATGCAGAAGGTTCCAGAAATGCAGATACTTGGCATTACGCCAAATTATTTTCATTACGTAATCAGTGACTTAGTGCATTGCATAATGATTACATCAAATATATTATGTATTATAAATATAAATAAATAACGATAATAATATTATAACATGATACATCATGTGGTTCGTTGTATTGTAAGGATCTCAAAATAAAGGCTGTATGTATGTAATGTGAGTGTGTGTTTGTGGGGGGTGGGGGGATGGAGGGCTAACAACTTTGAACATGCCACATTAAAACTACCATGTTGTTATCTTCATTTACCTTAGTGACTATCCAAAGAACTAATACGTTTACGTCATTTTGGATCGATCATAAAAGTCATTTTATATATAATCTGATGTGTTAATCATTTAATTTATAAATGAGCAAGTTGATGTTTATACCTGATCTATATGTGCTTATATATTTGTTCTTAACTATGAATAAAATATCTCTTAGATGAAACAAACGCGCATGTTTCAATGCTCATTAAAATTGCATGAAGAATATCCTGAAAGGTTTTTTGATGAAATTAAAAATTAAAAACAGATATAAAAAACTAGTAATATATAAAAGTAGGCATGTCATAATTGGATGATTTGTCTTCTTTCTAAATGAAGAAGCAGATAATGTGTCCTTCATGAAAACTCAAAGCAAATTTAAATCCGTGCTTATGATGACACATTAATACAAATTTCAATCCTATCTAAATACACAATTACTACTAACTCGCTTCATAATGTTATTTTCACGTGCCATTCTGTACTGATCAGTACTTTAAAGAGTTGAACATGCTTCCACACAAATTATAAACCACAGAATGTGCATGATCCAGTTTGTGTCAGAAATAATTGCAAATACGTCTGTTTACATGTGCATCGGTTTATCCCAGAGAATCAAATTAAACCAGGATACAGTAATTCGAGGGGTTTTCACATGAAATCTGCCAAACAGTGGATGATGAATGATCGTTCATGATAAAAAGAGAATTATTAGATAAATTAGAAACATGAATAGCAACACTTAAATTCATTCCGGATCCGCAACAATTATTTCGGATGCATATTTATATAACTACGATCCTATGGCATCAGATTAATCATTCTAAAATCCATAACAAAAATATTACACTTCAGAAAAATACATTAAAATGTGATTTTATATAATTTCTTGCATAGCATGCATGACATGGTGGATTGAATTGGTTAATCCGGTCCGGATTAGTTTTTTATTTTATACCTATACCTCGTGTCATTTTAATCCTTCAGCGAATTTTCTTCAGAAACAGATGAGCATGCCCGGTACTTTAAGATTCAGCCTATTGAATGTATCATGAGGATCCAAATCGTAAAATTTTATTAGGTTCTGCAAGACAATCTTATGTGCTATTTAGATAAATGAATAATTCCTTGGTTGCTGTTAATGATTGTATAACAGTAATCTTTAGGATGATAGTGTTAAACTTTAGCTATCAAAATCGTAGGAGTTGGGGAAATTAATCTACTCACAAGCTTGTTTATATCTGAAAAGTTCCATTCATAATTTGGTATAAAAAGATGATATCATCATTTCTCTTTAGTTTTGATATAATTATATGAATGTTTCAAATACACTAATCTCTTTAATGCCGTTTCTAAACATTATGGCTACAAAGCTGCAGTGTACGATAAAACATAATGCACATAAAATGTTATTACCATCAGATGTGCAGTAAGGTAACGGTGCTACCAACTACAGATATTCTTGCAACCATACTGCGTTTACACAATAGCTGACAGGACTTTTTTAAAACAAAAGATTGCCTTTTTTGGGGGTGAAAATTAACATTTAAGTCATGATTTTAGTACTAAACGAAACATTAGACATTTTTCTAAATCATTTTAGAAACATATTTCTGGCGAAAATTTGATATTGAAAATATTTACATTTAAATCAATGTTGACTACTCAAAATTGCATTTAATAGATATAGAAAAGTAAAGACAAAGCACAAAGAAGAGTATTTATTGTCAGTTATTTTAACAGTTCAGAAATTTTGTTTACGACAAAAATGTACTTTTCAATGAAGGTTGTGGGTATCTTGTAAATCATCGTGAGGACGAAAATGTCCAGTCTATCTGCCCAAGCAATTCAGATCTCAATAAAGCCCCTATTTTATTATCAGTGGTAATATTAAACTTTTTTCCCATAGGCACAGGAGCACTCCCTCCCTCTGCAAGCCTCTATTGTGTTTAGTAAGGTAAGATACTTTGATGCGCAGCGGTGATGTCGGGAAAGCGTAAAGGCCTTTCATCGGTTCACTTTGTCAAGATCCGATAAACTCACATTTTTAAATAGAGTTCATCTTCTTATTTATTTTTTGTTGATAAGTTTGTGTCTGTGTAAGAGAGATATCACATACAACAGTTGGGAGGTCTTGGTGAACTATAGTTATATTGGCTTCGTTCTTGATAAAATTTTCTTGGAGAAATCAATCTGGAAATCCACTGAAAGCCCAGATACAATTTGATTTAAACAGACGACAGTCACCGATATCAAAGGAACTGAATTACACAATTTCCAATCATTTATATTTATTGTTTACT